GAAAATCTGGCTCTTGTTATTTCCACGTTAATAAACAGAAACATGATAAATTTTCCCCACTGCTATGTTTTGTTTAATACATTACCCAGCTTCTGTAGAAATTCTAGGAACTCATTTGTTGGTTTTGCCATATTTTAAAGCTATAGATTTTTTTTCTGCACATTTAGAGCAACTGCATAATTCTGTGTTGCCAGTTTTCAAACATTTTTGCACATTCCAGCTATTAAAAAAAAGAGCCAGTGAAATTCATGATGAATTAACAGGCTTCTCACAAGAGCAATCACTTATCTTCCACTTTAGCAAACACTGTGCCAGACATTTTGGAGTTTAATCAAAATTCTCATCGAAAGCCAAATCAGTGGATTTTTACAAAAAGTTTAATTAGAGTGGTCAAGCTACCCAGAGTGATTTGCTTGATTTGATTAATGTAACGAGGAGCACGTTTAATAAGAAATGCATTCGTTCATTCAAGCAAGTGGTTTTATCAGAGGTACCAAACGTTTTGTGTAGCAGAAGTTACAATGGCAATAATTGGGGTGAGATGGAACCAGAGGCCATGCTATAATTACATGATCTCAGCCACGTTCTGCCACTAGAACCTAGGTGACACCCATCCCGACTGACGAGCTAAGGGCCTTTGGCTTCACAACACGGGGCTTTAATTCCATTCTATAGCCCTCTCAGCTCTCCAAATGGGGTATTCAGAAAGTTTAACACATTTTAATTTTTCAAATCTTTCATGGTTACATAGCCTGTTAAAAGGTCAAAATTCAATTAGTTCAGCAGCTGAAGAAAATTCAAACATTAACTCTACCCTAAAACAGCACAGTTTGAGTCTACTTTTTGTTTTCCTCCCTGAAATATTTATTGTGTTGATATTTCCGGGAGTTCCTGTCTCCAGGCCTTCAAGTTCAATGTGTTTATTAATCATTTGGATGCTGGAATTAAGAACTTCTTGAGCAAGTTTGCCAATGACACTAAACCAGGAAGCATCACGAATATGTCAGAGGACAGAAGCACAGAAGGATCTTGACAGACTGCGAAGCTGGGCTGGAGCTAACGGGATGAAGTTTAATGCTGACAAATGCAAGGTGTTACAGCTTGGGAAGAATAATGAAGAATACAAAATGGGTGACACCTGGCTGGATGGCAGCACTATGGAGAAAGATGCATCCCCAGCTGGGCTTGCTTCCCACAACCTTGTCAGTCAGCCCTCATTGCTCCTGTTAGGGAGCAGAGGGGCAGGGCCTGCCCTGGTCTCTAGAGCAGACAGCACAGTCTAGCCCAGGGCTAGAAAGCATGCTGGGATATTGGGAGACTGTGATTTAACCTGAACCAGGAAGGAGTCTGGGACAGAAGTTTCATAAACCGGGTTGACACAAATCAGATAAGCCTGATACTACATTCAACCAGGTTTGTCTTAAATTAGTTTCAGCCATTTTCAAGCTGGTTTATGCACACTGAGCTTCAGTTCTGTTACAGGTGTCACGGCGGGGTTCTCCAGGAGGGCCGTGATCTCCTTAAGGCCCCCTCTCCGTGCCAAGTCGGCCCAAGGGCACCCTCAGATTCTTGCCTGCCACGTCTTTGATGTTTAGGTAAAGTTGGGAGGCTGCCTCACGTCTCCTTGGGCACGGTTAGCTGGGACCTCTGTCCCCGTGTTTTCCCGGACCCACAAGGGGTCTCCCTGTATGATGGGTGCTTCCCAGGCACCCTAGCCTTATGGGCTATGCGTGGCTCCAACCACCCCTTACACCATGCCCCAAGCCTCGCAGATGGGATAGACGTTGGTGTGTCTCTCTGTCTATATTCCTGCCCATCTCTCGGGCCTTCTGTTGTGCTGACCCCTCTTGGGCTCTCCGAGCCCACACGGGGCCTTCCCTGCAATGTCGCCCCTTTCCTGGGGCCTTCTGCACCCCCTCTGGGACTTCTCGTCGAGCCACCCGTCTCTCAGGCCCAACCGCACTGCTACCCCCGCTCTCCAGGGCTCACCGCACCACTACCCCCTCTCTCTCTCAGGGTTCACTGCAGTACACCGCCCTTCTTCGGGGTTTACTGCAGCACTAGGCCTTCCTCAGGGCTTGCCGCACCCGCCCTGGGGCTTCCTAATAATACTGCCCCCTCGCTGGGGCTTGCTGTGCCCACGCTAGGCTCCCTAGTAATACTGCCCCCTCGCTGGGGCTTGCTGTGCCCACGCTGGGCTTCCTAATAATACTGCGCCCTCACTGGCGCCAGGGTTCCCCCTGAGTATGCTGCGCCTGCTCTGGCGCTGGGGTCCTCACCCTTCGTTGCGAGTCCCCAATGAGTACGCTGCACCCTCCTCAGGCGCTTCCCCACCAACCCCTTATAGCCTCACCCTAGCCACCGGTGTGATAAACAACAACAACAAAACCACAAGCCCCTAGGCTACAACATATCTATAAGCCACCTGGCTATAACCACAGAAGTCGCCTGGCTATAACTTAGCATCATTGCTCAAGCCTCCAGAGCTATCATGAGCTGTACTTGCGATCAGGCTTTTTTCCACATCCTGGCTGAGGGAGCTCCTGCCCCTTCGGCTGCTGGCAGGGAACTGCCAGCTTGGCCTCAGCCCTGGGCTTTATGAGGGCCAGGCCCTGCCCCCTTCTGGTCAGCTGACTTCCTGGTTGCCCTGGGCAACCCACAGCTGTGCTTGTTATGTCCTGCCAGGGCTCTCTCCCTGGCAGTTTCCACTCTCTAGGAGCAGGGCACCAAGGTGCCCTGCGACACAGGTTTAAACCATTTTTTGATCACTTAAACCGGTTTATGTGTAACTTCTGTCCCTAGCCCTAATGACTATGGCTCAAAATGAAAATCTACAACTAAAGGCTGCTGAATTTGGAGGGAGTGTGGGGCTGCTCTTGCATCTGAGCATTATGGCTGAATTCTCTCTTTAAAATAAAGAAATGCCCAACTTTATGATGAAAAATGCTGAGATGTGAATCCAGATCTGCATGTCAGCTTTGTGGCTCAAACCCTTTTTTAGTATCTTGCAGCCTTATGTCTGGCACCCGCCACAAATCCCAAACACATTTTAAAAATGATATTTAGATATGATTCTGTGCAGAGAATAGGTTTGGGCTATAGACACATCCAGGGTCACTTCTAAAAAAAGGAAGAAAATTATAACATCAGAGCTTTTTGTGAGATAAGAATGAAAGACAATATGAGTAGATAGAGGGGCCTATTGCTCAAAGCACAGGACAGTTATGTGCATGTAACTCCCCGGCCACAAACACACGGCAGGAGAAGAGCAGGCCCCACAGATTTCAGAATATCATTGTAATTATTGTTTCCCCTTTCAGGCAGTTCAAAGAGAGCATATAATTTTTCAGCAACATTTTGCATTACAGGAATATATAGTTACCCTACTACGCATAGTCCATGCAGATCCAAGCATCATGGCTTCTATTTTCCTTTATCCAAATTCAATATCTTTAAAATATTTGTTTGGACAAATGTACACATATTTTAGAAAGCAACACAGTATAGCCTGTCCTGTGTAATTTTACCATGGAATCTTACAGAAACTTGGAATACTGTTCTGAGTTTAAAAAGAAGTATGAAACTCCCATTATACAAAGGCCTGATGAGGAACACATTCCCAAATATATAGATATTCCAGTGAATTTGCCAATATACTACAGGCCGCTCTAAACTTACAGAAGAAATACATTTCTTGCAAGTAACACCTATTGTCATGTATCACAGAGTGTTTGGTATTAGTTTGGAATTCATTCTTTGGAAACAGGATAAATTCAGATCCAGAGCAGAAGTTCTGTGCCCTTTTTCTCTTTATTGAAAGACATCAGGAGGAGTTTCAAGGGAGAGGATTAGGAGAGGATTTTAAAACACACATTCCTCATCTTTGTGAAACTAGTATTTATCTGTGAACCTGACCGCATGTTGTATTTACCAGGTTTACTTCAGCACACTGGAGATCTCCGAACACAGTATTATTGTGTACAGAGTAAATGTTTACCCCATATACATCGGTCACTATGGAAAGGCTTACTGAACTTACAAGAAAGAATTTCTTTAAGTCCCAGGAAAGCTAAGCTCTCCACCTCTCATGCTGTTCAAATACAAGCCATAGTTTACATCCAGCAGGGAGTAGGCTCTGTTCTGGTATCCAGAGGATAGCCCTTAGAGTTGCTGTATGGGAACTGTTAGCAAACTATAAACTTTGGGCAGAAGCAAAATATTTATTAAGAGTTGAACAGGCTGAGAATGTTTAAAGCAGCACTTGTGCTGGCTTTCATTACCAACATGTTTCATGCACAGACATTGAGGTATTGGTTCCAACATTGATTCCTAAGAGCCTGAATCCACAATGTATCAATCACATACTGCAATGAGTCATAGCTAATCCAGTTCTCTCTGTTTCACTGAACCATGGCAATGCAATTTTATCAAAGAAATCGGGATGTTTACAGAACTGTTAAACAGCTCCTACCATTTACAAGTCAGTGTTTTATTACGCTTCCCTTACGAGCCCTCAGACTTGTACCTCATATAACTTCTTTCATGTGATTAGGCAGATAGTTTTTGATTTGGCCATCTGGTTGTGAAACCCCAGACCCTGCTCTAATGTGTTTCTACACTGTTTTAAATTTGTAAGACTCAGACACCGATCACTGAAAGTACCAGAAAATAGAAATGTAATGGATTAATAGCTAAATTCTGGTCTCATCTACAAGGACAGAATGCCTGCCATACAACCAATGAACAGATGCAAAACAGGAATTTTGAAAATAGTGTTAGAGATGGAAGTCCAGCTGGTACATGAAGAAAAGCTGCTTCTGCTTCTACACCTGGCAAGCAGCAGCATCTCTGGTATATTTATTCCTCTTTTTCACACTTTTTGAAACTCTGGAATGGGGGTCTTTTGACATGGATAAAGGATTTCTGCTTCCATATTTTCAGAAAAAAGCATGCTGCTTCCCTCCCAGCAGCTGCTAAGCTAAATGAGAGAAGGGCCTTACCTTTTCATTTTTCCTATCTTCGGCTTTACAGGAACTGTTGGTTGGGCTAGAAGTTACCAGGCTGCTGATCGGCCCGGTTCCTGCCTCCCCATTCAGGTTGGCTGCACTCACGTTTGGAGGAGTAATGGCAGCTGCTGCCGAAGTGAGGGGAATGATGGGCCGGGCACACTGTGCTCCAGGAATGACTTGGACAGGGGACTGGTGGATGTGCTGTGGAGAAACCATGGAGTGTGGCCGAACCACAGTGCCCGGGAGACGGGATGGAGAGCTCTGCGTTCTCAGTGGTGAAACTGTTGCTGTGGGCCTCTCCTGAGCCTGAACAGACGGATGTGCTAGTGGGGGAAACAAAGCAAAGGGAAAAAAAAGATAAGTATCGATACAGTTAAGTAACAGATATTATTTATGTTTAAATTGTACTGTTAACACACCATTTTTATTAGATGGTCCCAAAGGGGAATTACACTTTGTCATCACACCAGAACATATGGTCCTGAGAGTCTTTATAATACATATGATAAAACACGAAGTGTCACAGCTCCTACCCCACCCTGTGAATGTCCTGCTTAGTGCTCTCTTGACTTCTTAGTAATCCATAGTTGCATAGTTTCACAGATGTTAGGGTTGGAAGGGACCTATTAGATCATCGAGTCTGATCCTCTGCCCCGGGCAAGAAAGAGCGCTGGGGTCAGATGACCCCAGCCAGGTGTCTGTCCAATCTCCTTTTAAATACCTCCAAGGAAGGGGACAGCACCACCTCCCTTGGAAGCTTATTCCATATTTTGGCAACTCTCACTGTAAATAATTTTTTCCTGATGTCCAATCTGAATTTGCTCTCTTCCAGTTTGTGGCCATTATTTCTAGTTACCCCAACAGGCGCCCTGGTAAACACTGTATCCCCTATTTCTTGCTGAGCCCCCCCAATGAGTTTGTAGGCAGCCACAAGATCACCTCTCAGCCTCCTCTTGCAGAGGCTGAAGAGGTTCAGTTCTCCCAATCAGGCCACAGGGTTTTTTCTGTAGGTCTTTAACCAGATGAGTGGCCCTCCTCCACACCCTCTCCAGGCCATCCACATCCCTCCTGAAGTGCGGCGCCCAAAACTGGATGAAGTACTACAAATGCAGCCTGACCAATGCTGCATAAAGGGGAAGTATCACCTCCCTAGACCTGTTTGTGTACTTAGGTCTAGGGAGGTGATTGTATTTACTCTCCAAGCAAAAAATAAGCTCTATTTTAAAATAAGCTCCTATTTCAAGCTGATAGTGTGCTGTGTCTTCCAAACCTCCTGGATCCCACTATAATGTTACTGTTAATTTCCTGATAATTTCTGGAGCTCCCCGCATTGTTACACCTAAATCAGGAGGAGATCATTTAAATCAAAACCAACACTGTATTTTGTTAATATGATTTTAAAAATCTTGTATATTACTTCATTCTTAACACAAAAAAAAGTATTTAAAGATGATCAGAAGATATCATTGTGCTGTTGAAAATGAATTAAGCAGAACAAACTCACCGAAGAGCCTTTCAAGTCAGTGTTGTTTCTGCCAGCATGCTCCTAAAGGGGCTATGCAAGATCACCAAGTTTTCCCTTCCCCAAATGAGTGAACTCTGCTTTACCTCCTCCTAATCCCCACCAAGAACCAGGGAATTACTGTTCATCTCTCTAACAATAACTACAACGCACTGACTATCAGTGTCAGATCTCCAAGGATCCAGGAAACTATACAGCATGCTGGCTGTGCCACAAAGGTCAACAGAAAACTCCAGTCCTATTTCCATAATGACATCTCCTTTGACCTCCACAGTTGCTTGTGGCTTTGCCATAACCTGCATACAGCAGTCCTAGAATGTGTGGGAGATCAGGCAATGCCCTTACTTAAAAGATTCAGAGGTAGGTCTGGCTGGAAAATTTCCTGTCAAAAAAGATGATGAGGGCTTAACATTAAAGGTCTCCAGACAACATTGAAAACTGTTGAATATAAATATATGTGTGTGTGCGCGTGTGTATATATACGCGCGCGCGTGTGTGTGTGTGTGTATATGTATGTGTGTGTGTGTGCGTGCACGCACATGTGTATATACACACACACATATATATATGTATGTATGCATATGTGTGTGTATATATGTGTGTGTGTACACACACACACACACACACACACACACACACACACAGATATACCCTCATATATTGCTGGTCACATATATACATACTGAATACTCATATACTTCTATTCATATGCCCATCCACTCTAGAATAGGCAGCATCCAGGGCAATCGCGCAGGATGTGGGAGAGACAGGATCAAATAACTGAATCGGAGACTTGAACCTGGGCTACACGTTGATAGCTGTTTTACTGGGCTATCAATTATTTTGGGATGGTGGTCTCTCTTTCTCTGTTTTGCTCTTTCTACTCCACTCTGAATGTAAGAAACCTACCTAAAAATGTTCAGCTGAAAATGTTTTTGTTTAAAAATAATGGTGTTTTTGACAACAAAATCACATTTTATTGGAAGCCTCCCAACCAGCTCTGTTCATTAGTTCTCTGAGGAACCCCTATTGGAGAAGTACTTTTTATGAATTTTTATGGTGTTCTGGACCATGATAATATTGAATGAAATAATTCTAGCAAAAATGTAAATAGTATTTTATATTCATAAAAATAGCAGCCCCTGCTGTTGCATTAGGAGAGACTAAAATTTAAAAAGGCATTGATTTTCATTCTCAAGGTATAAATTGATCATCCCCTGGGGGTCTTTTCTCATGGATTAGTTTTATCCAACTGACCAGGAACATAGTAAGACTTTTTTGTGTATCTACTTCCTCTCAAATCATCAGATATTAACTGCCTTTGTAGACTGGCTTCGGCTATGGATAGGTATTATTTTTGTGCTAAGAGAAATACCTTTCTCTTAGCACAGAAAGCTAGCATACAGGCATTCAAGGGGTTTTTCACATAAGAAAACTGGTTCTTCAATGAAAAATTAAAAGCACTTCAAACCAGGAAGTTTTTTGGCCCAAGTACTTTTCTTGTACTAGCTTCAATAACTACATTTCTCTAAGGGCCATAAGGTTACCCAGTATCTCACCATCCTCCACTCTCCCTCCCTCCCTTCCAGTAGGGTTACCCAAGTCTGTGCAAGGGGCAGGGGACATTTCCCCATGGCTTGAATACTCTCAGGGTCAGGGCATATTTTCCTATGGCGCAAACCATCCCACACAGTCCTAAGGAAGTGGGGGTAGCAAAAGCACAGCTCATTATCAGCTCCTGGCTAAAGAGCTTGCCTTTGAGGCAACTTTGCTGCTCTCCAGGAAGGGGGCCAAAATGCCTGTACGCTCATTTTCTAGTATTGCAAATTTCCTGGAAATCTGGAGTGCTACAACTAGACACGTCCTAGGAGACACCTAGCCCCAGCTACTATTTGAACTTCCAGGTCCCTTTGTAGTAATGTTGCACTTAGCAAATACATCACACTGTCATTTATCAGTCTAGAACTTGTTAGGACCTTACCCTCTTGACAGAGGAAAAACCTATACATTCAGATAGTCTCCAGGCTGCTGCTCTTTTTTTTTTCTCCTCACTATTTTTCCCTGCCTGGATCACCTGACAGCTTATTGAAAGATGTAGTCCATTTCCACACAGATATTAGAAATGGCTACTTTTGATTTACTCCAACCTAGGTTGTCCCCTCCTGATCTTTATGTAATAAAATGTACTTGTGCATAGGCCAATCTGGTGACAGCCTTGTTTTGGTCTTGTGCATTGGGCAACACTTGCTATGAAAAATATATCATTCTAGTATGCAGGCTTCAACGTTTTGAGGTAGGAAAGAAGGTGAGAGCACAAAAAAAACAGCAAAAGAAATGGTCTGACTAAGCTGTGAGAGAGACTCCTTTATTTCACTTGATAATGTCATATGTTTACTGCTAACATCTAAGCTCAAGAGCTGCCTTTGCTTTTACATCTTTGGATCTGGAATGTGCTGTGTTGAACATGCTATTAATTAGCAATGTTCACTGAAGGTTATTTTTGTTCTACACTGCTAATAATTCATTTTCATTCCCATATTAGTGGCTTTATACAAAATTGATTTGTTATTCATGTAGATTGCGAGCCAACAAGAATGTGACTTGACTTATAATGCTGTTTCTCCATACTGCGGGACTAGATGGAGGAGCTTTGTAAGGAGTGGAGCCACAGGACAAGTCTGTTGTGGCCATTACATAGCAATGAGAGGAACGCTGAGCTGGGATAGTCTTTAAGCTGATTTTGGCTATTCTGCTAACTTATTTTTATTTACCTAGGAAAATTATATTTTAGTTTACATTTAAAAAACAATAAAACTTCATAAATGCCCACAGAAGGACATGTTGCCTATTTTGTGAATTCTTCTGTCTTCTCTGCAGGCTAAGATGTCAGAAGGAACTTGATGTGTGGTCTTAAAACCCTAGAGAAGACAAGGTGAATGTGGGGATACCTGTAGCAACCTTTTGAAAGCGTGAGATGACCACATGGATTTGCACTGGGGTGAGAAAAGGACGGTCTGATGCTTCTACCTGGGGTAAAATTACCCTGCAAGAACATCCTACTTCTGCTTCAAGGGAATCTGTCTTAATGGCAGCACAGACATCTGAGGCATGAGGAGACACTTACACAAATCCAGAAAGCCAAATATATACCAGGTTGCCAGATGTTAAACTAATGCCAACTTGGTTCTATTACCAGATTCTTAATGTAATGACATGTTAGGACTGTTCTACTCTAGAACAGGCACTTCACTACTGCCTAATGTGCTGTCTCAAATCATGCATATTCAACCCTTGTGCTAAGTAGAGCAATAGCGCTATTGGTGATGAGATAGAATGTGGTGAGGAAATATGGTGTGCTTGCTTCTGCACTCAGTTGAGGGCAGGTTACCTCCATTTAAACTAAACAAAAAGGTGATATTTAGGAAGTTACACATAAACCAGTATAAGTGATTGGAAACCAGTTCAAATTCCATAGTTCCATATATGTTAGGTTCGGAAGGGACCTATTAGATCATCGAGTCCAACTCCCTGCCCTGGGCAGGAAAGAGCGCTGGGGTCAGATGACCACAGCCAGGTGTCTGCTCAATCTCCTTTTAAGCACCTCCAAGGAAGGGAACAGCACCACCTCCCTTGGAAGCTTATTCCATATTTTGGCAACTCTCACTGTAAATAATTTTTTCCTGATGTCCTATCTAAATTTGCTCTCTTCCAGTTTGTGGCCATTTTTTCTAGTCACCCCGACAGCCGCCCTGATAAACACTGTATCCCCTATTTCTTGCTGGCCCCCCCCGATGAGTTTGT